GATTATGGAGTCACTTAGATGGTGTTTCTGAGGCCCCGACGGATAAAACTGCTTCAGATGTATGGGAAACTCAAGATGCTCAAATCATCACTTGGATTCTCAATAGTATTGATCCTCAGATGATAAATAATTTGCGCTCCTTTTCAACTGCTCAAGAAATATGGAATTATCTGAAGCGCATTTACAACCAGGACAATTCGGCAAAACGTTTTCAATTGGAGCTAGACATAGCCAACTACAAACAAGGTGACCTACCTATTCAAGAATACTATTCTGGTTTTCTGAATCTCTGGACAGAACACTCTGCTATTATACATGCTAATGTTCCCAAAACCTCTCTCACTGTTGTTCAAGAGGTCTACGACACAAGTAAGCGAGATCAATTTCTCATGAAACTTCGTCCAGAATTCGAGATTGTTAGAGGCGCTTTGCTCAATAGGAATCCTATTCCTTCTTTGGATACTTGTGTCGGTGAACTTCTAAGGGAGGAACAACGTCTACTTACGCAAGGAACCATGTCTCATGATGCTGTTAGTTCCGAACCTGTGGCAATTGCATATGCTGCTCAAAGTAGAGGAAAGGGTCGTGATATGCGACAAGTTCAATGTTTTTCTTGCAAACAATTTGGACATGTAGCTCGCAATTGCAGTAAGAAGTTTTGCAACTATTGCAAACAACAGGGTCATATCATCTCTGACTGTCCCACACGTCCTCCCCGACCAGTACAACGTCCAACTCAAGCATTCCATGCCACTACCAACTCTGAAGTTGGTCCTCTCAGTACTGGTACCGGTAGTGTTCTACAACCTGAAATGATTCACCAAATGGTACTTTCTGCTCTTTCAGCCTTGGGAATTCAGGGTAAGTCTTCTAATAATTCTCAATCATGGTTTCTTGATTCTGGTGCATCCAATCACATGACGGGTTCCTCTAAATACTTACAAAATGTACATTCCTATAATGGTAATCAGCAAATTCAAATTGCTGATGGTAATAAACTTTCTGTCACTGATGTTGGTGACATAGACTCAAACTTTCGTGACGTGCTTGTATCACCCGGACTTGCTTCCAACTTATTGTCGGTTGGTCAATTGGTGGATAACAATTGTAATGTTAGTTTTTCTCGTGTTGGTTGTCTTGTGCAGGAGTAGGTGTCGGGAAAGGTGATCGCGAAGGGGCCTAAAGTGGGAAGATTGTTTCCACTCCCGTTTAGTTCTAGTCATTTATCCTTTGCATGTAATATTGTTTTGAACTCTTATGAGGATTGGCATAGAAAATTAGGCCATCCAAATTCTGTTGTTTTGTCTCATTTATTTAAAACTGGTTTGTTGGGAAATAAACATGCGTGTACTACTCCTATTTCATGTTCTGTTTGCAAATTGGCTAAAAGTAAAATCCTCCCTTTTCCGTCAGGCGCTCATCGTGCTTCTACTTGTTTTGAGATGATTCATAGTGATGTGTGGGGAATGTCTCCTGCAACATCTCATGCTCACTATAAATATTTTGTCACATTTATTGATGATTACAACCGCTTTACTTGGATATATTTTCTTAGATCTAAGTCTGAAGTGTTTTCTATGTTTCAGAAGTTTTTGACATATGTTGAAAATCAATTTCAAGCAAGTGTTAAAATTTTTCGATCTGACTCGGGAGGTGAGTATATGTCTCATGCATTTCAAGAATACCTTCAACAAAAAGGGATCTTGTCTCAACGGTCTTGTCCCAATACCCCTCAACAAAACGGGATGGCAGAGCGAAAGAATCGTCATTTGCTTGATGTAACACGCACATTACTTCTTCAAGCTTCTGTGCCATCCCGATTTTGGATTGAGGCTCTTTCCACAGCCGTATTCTTGATCAATCGTCTTCCTTCTACGGTTATTGATTTTGATTCTCCCTTCTTTCGCCTTTTTAAAATTCAGCCTAGTTATAATGATTTACATATTTTTGGATGTGTTTGTTTTGTGCACTTACCTCCATTTGAAAGACATAAGCTTGGAGCACAGTCTGTTCAATGTGCGTTTATGGGGTATAGTCACTCACATAAGGGATTTGTGTGTTATGATGTCACTAACCATCGTTTTCGCATTTCTAGGAATGTGACATTTTTTGATAATCAGTTTATGTTTCCATGCGTTTCTCCTGTCATGAATGATATTGTTACTCTTCCTAAGTTCTCTATTATGCCTCAATCTATAAAGCGTTATAAACCAGGTCATGTATATGTCAGAAAACACAAACAGCAGGTTCCCACACCCTTTCCCGACGCTGAACCGCCACCTGATCCTGTAACGGTTGAACCACGACGTTCTGTTCGAATATCTCGAGCACCAGACAGATATTCACCAGACAGGTATGATTCAGCACATACTTCTCTGACTGCCACCCTCTCTGGCATATCTATTCCTACTGGTTATTCACAGGCTGTTAAAGATGTACGTTGGATAAAAGCAATGAATGAGGAACTTCAAGCTCTTCAAGAGAATTTCACATGGGATATTGTCTCTTGTCCTCCAGATGTCAAACCCATTGGCTGCAAATGGGTGTATTCTGTGAAATTGAATTCGGATGGGTCCCTCAACCGTTTCAAGGCTCGCTTGGTTGCCTTAGGAAACAAGCAGGAATATGGAATTGATTATGATGAGACATTTGCACCGGTTGCTAAAATGACATCCGTTCGTACGGTACTCTCTATAGCTGCTTCTAACGGGTGGGCTCTTTATCAATTAGATGTGAAAAATGCTTTTCTTCATGGTGACCTCGCGGAAGACATTTATATGACTCCTTCTCAAGGTTTATTTTCATCATCTAAGGGTGTGTGCAAGCTTAAACGCTCCTTATACGGTTTGAAACAAGCACCTAGAGCATGGTATGAAAAATTCCGCTCCACTCTACTTGGGTTCTCCTTTACTCAGAGTCAGTATGATTCTTCTCTATTTATTCATAGAACGTCTACTGGAATTGTCCTACTTCTTCTGTATGTTGATGATATGATTATTACTGGTTCTGATCATGCTTCCATTCAAAGCCTTAAACGGCAGTTACAAGCAGCGTTTCATATGAAAGATCTTGGTAATTTGCATTATTTTCTTGGTCTTGAGGTTCATTCTACATCCAAGGGCATATTCCTCCATCAACACAAGTATGCCACAGATTTAATTTCCATGGCTGGTCTCCAATCGGCTAATCTAGTGGATACTCCGCTTGAGGTTAATGTTAAATATCATCGTGATGATGGTGATCTGTTGCCTGATCCCTTATTGTATCGTCAACTCGTGGGTAGCCTTAATTACTTGACTATTACTCGCCCTGACATATCGTTTGCTGTTCAACAAGTAAGTCAATTCATGCACTCTCCTCGCCACCTTCACTTGGCAGCAGTTCGTCGTATAATTCGTTACTTGAAGGGAAGCTGTCATCGTGGTTTATTCTTTCCTAGTGGAGTTGCTCCTAAATTGAGTGCTTATAGTGATGCAGATTGGGCAGGGTGTCCTGATACTCGACGATCTGTCACTGGTTGGTGCATGTTTCTTGGCTCTTCATTGATCTCATGGAAAAGTAAGAAACAAGCGAGAGTCTCTAAATCTTCTACTGAATCTGAGTATCGTGCCATGTCTGCTGCTTGTTCTGAAATAATTTGGCTTCGTGGTCTTTTGGCTGAACTTGGATTTCCTCAAATAGAGCCAACTTCGCTTTATGCTGACAATACAAGTGCCATCCAAATTGTTGCGAATCCTGTTTTTCATGACCGCACCAAACATATTGAAGTTGACTGTCACTCAATTCGTGATGCTTATGATGACCGAATCATATCACTTCCTCATGTCAATACTCAGTTGCAGATTGCAGATATTCTTACCAAGGTTGTTCCGCGTCCACGTCATCAGTTTCTTATTAGCAAATTGATGTTTATTGACAAGCAGCATCAATTTGAGGGGGGATGTGAATAAGGGTTTGTTCCTAAAATAAGGGTTTGTTTCTAGAATAAAGGAAACAAATTAGAAATTGACTTGTTCTCATTAAAATGTAATTATTTAGTGTAATTACCAATATAGCCCTGTAACCTCTATATATACGAGAAATAATAATGAGAAATGCATGAAGCCAATAATTATTGACAGTAGTTTCAAAAAATCACACAATAGGTACCAGAGGTACCAAAGTATCCCATAAAATCTAAAAAAACAAAAGAACAAATCCACAAAAACTAAACATTATTAAAAGGCTCCCCGAGACTACACACCAAAAGGACGAAGCCATGACAACCGGTTAAAACTCAATACCAAAAACCACCATCAACAGAACTAAATCTTTCAAAAAGCAAAAAGAGCACTCCTCTCAAGAAAAGCGGTTGAAACTCTCAAGTCGTTATTGGTTCAAGTAGAGAATATAGTTTTTAGCCGGTCAAACAAAGTACAAGAGTGACCCATAAACGTATAAAGATACCATTTTCAAGAAGTGTAAATGCTCTTATCTTTCAAATCCTACACGTTTATAGATTTTCCTAAAATATCAGATCATTCTGAGATTATTCAGATATACTAAACCACCGAATGCCAAAGCATAACTAGATCACCACTAATTCTAAATAGACGCCGTCGAAATAAACATCACAAAATATTTAGGAAGGACAAAAGACCACCCGAGCCCTCTAAAAATTTTATACCTCAACGTAGCCACAAGTTAGCTTACCGGTCACAAACACGACTCTAACGGGTCAGATCACAAACCATAGGAAATATCACCAGTGGCGAGTAAGACACGCCACTTAACAAGATTATAAGCCAAAGGGTATTTTGAAACACCTTTCTCAAGTAGAGAACACATTGACAAAAAAGGTAATCATACATGCAAAGAAACAGAATAACATTGAAATAAACAATATAAGGAGAAAAAGTTAGAGAATGGTTTTCTTCCAAATCTAAAACATTAGAAGCCAATTTCATTGATTCATTGACATGACATAATTACAAAAACATTCATTCAAATTTATACAACAACTAGTGATTAAGGATGTTGAGAAGAGAAACTCTAATCCTAATAAACCGTTTAAAAAGAACTTCAAGTGCTTCCACAAACTCTTGAACAACAGACTCCAAATTTTCCAATTGATTCTGCAAATGATTGACATTTTCCGACTTTCTTGTCACATTAAACACAAAAGACTGCAAAGCAGCATCAACATTGGAAAACTCATTCTGATCACCTTCTTGCGTGGAAGAAACCTTCTTGTTCTGCATCATAAGCTTCGAAACCAAAGACCAATAGTTACTTGGTTTCGATTGTGCCGGTCCAGAGATAAATATCAAAAGTGACTCCATCATAGAAAGAGTAATCACTTCCACATCTCTTAACAAACTAACCAAAGTAACTTTTTCATGATCCTTATTATTGCTAGGAGATAATGATTTTCCTTTACCTTTCTTCACATTAGTTTTCAAATTCTCCAAAGCTTTGAGGATTGCTTTCTTTACTATCTTCCTAGAAGCCAAGAATTTCCTCACCTCAGCCGTTACCTCCATTTCGCCACCTCTTTTCCGTCTCATAATCGACTGAAGTTCGCGCGCGCATTCCTTCGTATGAATTAGAGAATCCTTTGCTACAGAACACACATCAAGGAGTCTTAAAGACCCGTCTAGAAGCTCGTCTATCCATTTCTCTTGACGCGCTTGAACAAGGACTTGTTGAGTAAGAGGTAGCAAAACCAAATTTTCGACGCATTCATGTAACGCTTGAAGATCGGTTAGCTTGCGAGCGAACAACGATGAAGTGTTGATTTCATCTAAAGACTCTAAACTCGCCAAGTGCTGATTGCATTGTAGAATTAAAGGGTGCGGTTTCGAAGGCAAGCTCTTCGAGCGAGGTTGGTGATGTGATGTTGGACTAAAAGGAATTGTAGTAGCCATTGCTTTTTGTTTTTTCACAAAAGATAAGAAAAGATCTTTTGTATTTGGATCTACCTTTGAGATTAGTTCAATATATATTGAGAGATGAAGAGACATAAGGAATCAAATAGTAACAAAAATCCATAATGAGCTAACTGATTTAGATTCAGATCTATGGCAAATCTCAGTAATGTTAATACAATGTCTCTTGCATAGGAACACTACAACTCACATACTTAATATTTTTTGTCTCTTAACACACTTTTCCATTGCAAGGTGTTCCTTCAATTAATGCAAGTATAGAATTAACTTTTTCATAGAATCACTTTTTTAGTACTACAAAATACAGATTGAATTAGTTGTACATATTACTATAGCAAGTTCTGTGCAGTCTTTCCTAAACAAAGGGAAGTAATAATTAATATACACTTTAATCATAGGAAAGACAAAAATCACGTTGTGCATTGAATTTTAGATTCATAAAATAAAAGAACATGTGGAATCATTTAATTTTGACTATTTTTAATCATCAACTTACCTAACTACACTTGTTATCTTGACAGCAGTTTGGATTCAAATTGACTTTGAATCCCATGTGGGATTGATAATAATTGATGTAGAAAGGTTTCTAATTTTGCTAATGCTACTCCACCTCCTTCTTTTTCTCCATCATTTTTGTCATGTTATTTTTTATTTTATTTATTTATTATTACATATATGAGAAATAACACTTTATTGAGAGATGATTTAATTTCAATAGAGAAAATACAAAAAAAGAAACATTCAACTTTGGTTGGCAATTAGGTTGTTCAAAAATTCCAATAAAAAGTTTATTTATTTATTTATACATTTATCTTTTCTTTATAGTCATCTTCTATTACCTCCAACTTTAGTATTGATTATTTTGTTAGCCTAGAACTGTCTACCATCAAGTTAAGGGTGAGTTGCTGCTGGATACTCAAGTGAGTAGTCACTCTATATGAGTTAGTCAAATCTTTCTCAATTACAAATAATCTCACAAAATTTGTGAGAATGTCGGATTGGTCAAGGCCACAAGGAGTGGGTAGTTAGGACTTGAGGACTCGTTTTCTATTTTATAAAGTAACTAACACGACAAGAATCTAAGAAGCATGATCAAAAAGCGACAAATATATGTACACTATTGAAAGGAAATCCAAACTTAAAGTTTAAAGTGAGTTACTTGTTGTGTAAGTAACTAGGTAGTTAAGTTAGTTATGTTACTTGTCGTACAAGTAACTAACTAACTACGTTGATTATGATTTTTTGGACTTCATTAGTCGCGCTTAAGCCAATCTCATAGTGTGTATAAATATCACTTATGCTATTAGTGAATCAATATGATATGAGTTAATAGGATATCACTTATGCTATAAGCCAATCTCATAGTGTGTATAAATATCACTTATGCTATTAGCTATACACACAATCTTCAATCCAATTATTTCTCCCTCTCTTTTATGTGTAATTAATAGATGTAACAAGTGGTGTTTAGCATCTCAAACTTTTGGTCTGAAAGTGTTCAAGATTTAGTGGCCATTCATTACTTGTTCATTGAGTGTAGATGGCAAGTTCTTTGGAGAATTGTGGTAATAACTTTAGTGAGAGGTTACTAGTTATTGACAACAAGAATTATGATAGATGGTACGCAAATAAATGTGATCTTTTGGTTCCTGGATAATGTGGAAATAGTGCAAACATGCTTGTAAGATCTTCCTAATGATGCAATGGATATTCATTGTGTTGTACATGTTGGAAAATTATGTTAATATTCAAATATAGGAAAGTGAATTTGAAAAAGTTTCTTAAGTTTCATATTGTCTGTTAGTTGAAAAAATTCTTTAATTCCATATTGTTTAGATGAGATATCTTACCTAGCTCACTTTATTGTATAAGGAAATTCCCTATTTTATTACAAAACACAAAAAAAATTTCTTTTGTGAGTTTTTCCTTTCTTACTCTCATAACTCTGCATCTTTCGAATTGTCAAAGTGCCAACTTCTCCCCATTTATTTCTACTCGTTGAATTTTTCGAGTATTTTCTTGAATCATCTTTAGAGGATTATGCTAATTTCTCCTCGTTTGAGTTGAGAAATTACAAGTATTAATTTTTGGATTCTATTTGGAGAGTTATTTGAATTTCTCTTGTTTGAGAAATTATTTTGAGTGGTCAAATGACCATTATTGAATTATCTTTGGAGAATTATTGAAATTTCTCTTGGTTTGAGAAATTATTATGACGAGTTGTTATAACAGAAACTGCAAGTGATATTTATACCATATTCAAATGGTCTTTATACCATTAGACGGTGTATTTCTAGATAGATTATCTACTGTGTAAGTAGTAATCGTACAATATAGAACTAAATTGTTTTATCCTGTAGGCGACACGGTAGTTCAACTGCTTTGCATAATTTTGGGCAGTGCCGCAAAACATCTTAAAGAGAGCGACCTAGTCCGCGGCTCGACTCGGTAATTTCTTATGTGGATAATTTTTCGAAATCGTTAAACAGCAATTTTAAGGCGCTTCAAAAACTATCATGGCTACCGAAGAAATTGTTGGTAATATTGTGGTCGTTGTCTCTGATGAACCATTTAAGTTTGAGGGCTTTCACTTGAAACGTTGACAAGCTAAAATGAAATTTTTTCTAACCTTAAAGAAGGTTGCCGACGTTCTGACTAAGGATATTCCTATTGCTTCTTCTGGATCAACCGAGCAAACTAATGGTAAGAACTCTGTGGATTCAGATGAAAATGCTAAAACTGATGAATCTGTGATTTACAACTCAGGAAAGAAATTTCCCTATGGCATGAGAATGACTATCTCTGCAAAAATCACATTCTGAACGGTCTTGCTGATGATATATATGATTATTACAACAACTGCAAGACTGCCAAACATGTTTGGGAAGCTCTGCAAAAGAAGTATGACACTGAGGAACCTGGAATAAAGAAGTATGTCATTAACCGCTACCTAAAGTATCAGATGGTATAAATGAAAGGTGCGTGGAGTTTTAATGTTATGAACTTCAAAAGATTTCTTATAAGATCATCACAAATGTATGTGTTTAGATGAAAAATTTCAAATTGTTTTTATTATTGACAACTTGCCTTTAGTTTGAAAGTTTTTAAAAACTTTGCTTCACCACAAAACAAAATAACTTTTAATTGAGAGTATGATTATTCGCCTTCATGTTGAAGAAGAATCTCATAGACAAGATCAAAACTAAAATTCTTGGTTGTTTCAAACAACAAAAAGAAATTCAGTGTAGTTCGAAATCCATTTGGCGAATGATTTAAAAATCAGAACAACAATGTTGTGAACCGAATTAAGAATGAGAAACCTTCAAGGGAACCAATTACTCCCATTAATGGGCAACAACCACCACTACAAAGAAATGACACTGGTGTTTTCTTTTGCTTCAATTGTAGTAAACCAAGACATATGATTAAGAATTATAAGATCATTTTTAAACCGTGTGTTGCCCCTAATGCATAGGTTAACCTGGTTGATGCACAATTTATTACTTTGATCACTAAAATCAACATGATTGGTGAGTCTGATGGTTGGTGGATAGACATTAGCTATTCTTGTCATGTCTCTTACGAACGTGCAATGTTCAAGACATACACGAATAAGAAAGTGTTATTGGGAGTTGTCCACACCATTAATGTTGTTGGTATTAGAGAAGTTGAGCAGAGACCACCTCTGAAAACACTTTAATCTTGAAGGATATCATGTATACTTCAAAAATTATAAAAAATCTTGTTTCTGGTTTTTTTTTCTTCTGAAAAAGGCCGAGTTTAGCCAGTCTATTGGGGTAGATTTGTACACAATTATATGAATGAAATTGAAAATTAATTTAATAATAAAATTAAAAGGTTTTGTAGTGATAGGAACTTAATATGATTCTATTTTATTTAATGAATTTTATAAACAACATGAAATTGTACATGAAATGACTGCACCACACTCTCCTGAAATGAGTGGTAAAGTAGAAAGAAAGAATATAAGTGTTATTGAACTTGTTGTTGCAATTATGTTGAATTTTAGCGTTGCATCTCACTGGTTGGGGAAATTTTATTAATTGTTTGTTATGTCCTGAATCGAGTTTCTAAGTAAAAAAGTAAATTCTCTCATTATGAGATATTAAAGAAAAGACAACCAAATTTGTCTTATTTAAGAACTTGGGGCTTTTTGACTTATGTCAGAATTTAAGATCCGAAGCGAGTTAAACTCGCTAATAAAGCATATGAATGTGTATTCAATGGGTATGCAGCAAATAGTAAGGCATATAGGTTTTATGATCTAAATGCTATAGTGATCATAGGATCAAATGATGAATTCTATGAAGACAAATTTCCTCTCAAATCAAAAAATAGTAGGGCCACTGAATAGAATCACATTCCTGAGATAAGAAGTACTGAAACAACAACGAAGTAGAAACAAAACTTCGACGAAGTAAACGAGTAAGAGTTGCGAAAGACTATGGGTCTGATTATGCGACATATACAATAGAGGAAGATCCATCAAATCTTCAAGAAGCTTTCTCATCTCTGGATGCATATTTATGGCAAGAAGCTATTAAAGATGAGATAGATTCTCTAGAATCTAACAGGACCTGACTCTTAGTATACTTTCCTCCTGGTTTCAAACCAATCGGTTGTAAATGGGTTTTGAAAAAGAAACTAAAAACCTAATGGAACTATTGATAAGCACAAGGCCCGCCTTTTAGCAAAAGGTTTTAGACAAAGAGAAAATATAGATTTCTTCGATACTTTTTCTCCAGTCACTAGAATTACATCCATTAGGGGTACTCATTTAAATTGCTGCTATTTATAACTTAATAGTACACCAAATAGATGTCAAGACGATATTTTTAAATGGTGACTTAGAAGAAGAAATATATATGGACTAACCAGAAGGGTTTTTAACTCATATAGAAGAAATATATATGGACCAACCATAAGTCTTTGTATGGTCTAAAACTAGTTCCAAAGTA